ATATATATATATATATATATATATAGGCTTAGGAGAAACTGTTTGTAATAAATATATAAAATAAATAAAAGAATCGACTTTGTACATTCAAGGTGCCAAGTAATTTGAAAACATTATTTTCACACGTTCTTACACAAGTTTACAGTTCAAAAGTTGAAAAGCTGTGTAATGATTTCCAAGATATGGTTAATTTTAATAGTTTTCAACGCATAAATAAATACACTTTGTAGAACAATTTATAATAGATCAATGTACTACAGAGTGGACCAAAAGAAAATATGACATTGTATTTTTCATTAATAATAGTGATACCAAATGGTAAAACTGTGTTTGTATTGGATGGAGATAGTCACGTGATTAAATAGTTAAAAATAGTTTAATTTTAAGGTGTGTGATATTTGAACTTTTCAGATAACCAAGATTACAGGATTAATTTGTTATTTCATACTAGAAATTTGTCATGGTTACGAACAAACTTGTATTGCACACTAATAGTTAAGAAAAGAATGATGTGTTGCTTTCTGTAACTTTAACAAAGCATCTTGAAAATGCAACATAGTAAGTTTATACGTCTGAAAAAAAAAAAGGATAAATTATCCAGGTTTTAATAGTTGTCATTTGGACAACTAATTTTTACGGATAGCCGTATCGGATCAAAACTCAAATGGTCGTCTTTTGAAGTTAAAATGTTATATTGGAATGACCCTTGAACAGCTAACATTAAAACTAAAGATAAAATAATACTGTTTATAACTGAGAGCGAAATCACACACGTTCTAGCCAAAACTTTTTACGACTGGTCACTGCAGCAAGTTCAACATAGGATCCTTAATTATTGTTATTCCAACAACTCATTTTAATGACTTATTATTAGTACTACTATCAATAGGATTATTACCAAGGAGAATCACTGAGTCAGAACAGTACGGTGAAATCTGCGAATCTTTTTGTGGTATCTGTCCAAGACTTCCTCGCATCGTAGATCAATACGTTGACCAGTCATGACGGCTCTAGCAGCAGTCACAGTCCAATATGTTTTTTTATGTAACATTAAACTTTATAATATTTTTATTTTATTTTGTGTATTCTATTATATAAAGCGCGCCCAAGAAATACGGATAAGGCGCCCTCTCAGCTACCGCCTTTCATCGCTGATCCCCCCCCCCTCCCTCTCTCTATATATATATATACACATAAAGAGACCATTAGCCCCACCCCCACCCCCAACTCACGGGCTGGAACTGCTAGTGACTTCCATTCAAACTGCCATGGCTCTGGTCCCGTAGCTTTATATGATATCATTTATAAGATTCCTAATACCGATTTTGAGCAATAGAAATTTTGAGTGCGCTTTTTTATGTAAAGTAAAAAATAAAATAAAAGTAAATTAGATATTGTTCTTGATGTTTGACAAAGTTCTGAAAAGCCATAATTTTAATACATCTTAGAAGGTTAAGCTATTATTTTAATACATCTTAGGAGATTAAGCCATTATTTTAATACATCTTAGAAAATTAAGCCATAATTTTAAAACATAATAAGTTTAATAAGTCATTATTTTAAAATATTGATCTTTGTCTACTGTTTCAAGAATCTTATAATAACCCAGTTCCTACTGACTATAATACTTACTTGTTCATTTGTAAATCACTGATCTCTTCAGAAAAAACTGGTTGCGTAGTGGATTCGGGCAGCATTCGGCATTTAATGACTTCCTTCTGTTTGTCTGTAACCAACAATAAATAAAGATATAAAAAAAAAGATATAAGGCCATTGCCATCTCTTTAAACTAATTATATTTAATTTATCTCCAAAATGTTTGAAATCTTGCGAAGAAATTAAAGATGGTCAAAATTTGGGGCCGGCATGGAAGATTATGATTTAATACTTTGATAATTATAGAAAAATATTTAATCATGATAAAACACACACACATTACTAAACGTTAATTTAAGTTAACCAATTACTGATTAATATTTCTAATGAATTAAGTGTCGGTAGTGCTGTATTTATCAATATTATATATATATATATTTATTTAGGAAAGCTAAAAATTAAATAAGAGAATACATCAAAAGGAAATAACGCGAATCTTACGCAGCATATCCAAACCTTAGATGAAATCTAATAAAATGTAATTTTTTTTTTCTAAGAAGTTATATTTAAATATATATATATAACATTGGTAAATTTACATTTTAAGAAATGCTAAAGTAGTTTATACTAGAATAGGTTTTTGTTTTCGTAACTATATATTTTCTTCGTTGTTTCATGAGTTAGTGGGTGGAATAAGGATTTTATTCCAGACAACGAGCGAGTGTATATTACTGATATATATAACCGCTGCTATATACAGAATATCCGATGTATCAGTTATATATAAACGTAATTGACACATCTGGTGTTTGTCGAGCTCGTAAACTTGGCAGGTTACTTCGGATCAATGTCTTTTACTGTGTTAGTGTTAGACTTGTCAGAAAGGTGAGCTTCTCTCTCTCTCTCTCTCATTATTTTTTTATTTGTTTCTAAATTCTAACAGCCATGAGCTGATAGGTTAATTCCAGTCTCTGACTATTAAAGTTATGTTGAGGCATGGTTGAGGTTTGTTTGATTTTTTTCTTATTGTTGTCAAACATAATGGTTGAAAGATAACTTTGTATTCCTAAAACTTCCAGGTAACAGACACTGTACTCGTATGTTCTATCTGTGAATAGTGTTCGCTTTAACTTCTCTGTTGTTCACGTGGGAACAAAGAAAATATTACGTTTATTTTGTAAAATACAGAAATAATAAACTTAAATTTCTGTTTTAAATTTTCGAGATTATCTCTGAAAGTTACCCAAAAATGTTGCCAAAGTGTCATTTTTACCTAACATATTCCCCGTCTTCCACTAAAATTGTTATGTTTTAGTCAAAAAGTTATAATTTGTTACTTTCATTATTGTGTTAGGCCTAGTTATTGTCCCAATTTTGAACTGGTTTTAATATGACGCACTACAGTTTTAGAAACTTTGTGTCTCATTCTCTCAGTCAGCAAAATCATAAAAATTCTCAGTTTTATTCTACAAATCAAACTTTTGTGTA